ATGTAAAAACTACATCAATTTTATCGATGTAAAACTTTACACTTTTACCCCCATCACTATTTTCAAAAAAGCAACGGTTTCTGGTTCAATGTAAAACGTCATCAATATATTTTTACACTGATGACATTTTACACTGATTCTAAACACAATGTTAATGAATTGGAGGAGGTAATCATAAGAAGCTCAGGATTCAATTGGATGAATGTGAACAAGTGGATTTATGGCTAGCAGTTGTATCTTTGTTTGATAGAGAAGAATGTCCACTGGATTTATTAATTAATGGTGGTGTAATCAGTCATTCAGCTTATAATCCATGGTGGTAAAGGAATATTGAACATTGTTAATTTGCAGGGAAATTTTGGGTACTTGATGCGTCTGTTCCATCCTCTCTCTTGTTGCCTGCCTGCTGTTGTGTGCGTTGGCCAAAAGAATGAGGACACGGACCTGACGAGACCCAGTTGTCTATAGATGGCCAGTTACTATCATCAGGCGTGCGCCTTTGCAACTTCAAACCTCAAGGAAGAAAGAAACAAGTTAGGGAATTTTCTAAATAGAGTGCGTAAAGAATTTCTGGTAGCTTTTTTGTGTCCTGGTCCAGTAGGTGTACTATATAAAAGCACTTGCTATATGTATAACATCAACCATTTAATGCCTTGAACGATCGATTAGTGCATGCTTTGCAATTAATAACTAGTAAGGGTCAATTTAGAAAGAATACACACATACAAATATGTACAGTATAAATACATAGAAAAATGGGTTTTTATAGTTCAATCCACTTTTAGGGTGGAATTAGGATTTTTAGAGGTGGATTGAATTCTGTTGGTGAATTGATGCTAAATTCTTAGACAGGATACAGTTTATAGGGGAGGGGGAGAGGGGTGTTTTGCACTCTATATATTCCTTTCAAATTGAGCCTAAATTTGCATCATGTGTTGATTTCAGTGATTAAAGATAAAAGAACTAACTTTTGCTTTAATTAGTATCAATCCTACGTTAGAAATAAGAACGTATTTAGAGACCTCACCAAACAGTTTTAAGCTTTTAGGTTGAACTTTAATTTTTCATTTGACCAAGTGGTCTGTTGTTTAATACTCACTGCCTGTTATAATTAATTAAATCAGTGCAAACAAGCAAGCTATAAATGGGCCTGTGTTTATCCACATTTCAAACCGAAAAGAAAACGGGGCCTTAAGTTGAATTCCTTTATCCTAAACATCTTTTGTGGTCTTAATTTGTTTTTCTAAGATAACGTTGATTTTGATTCTGAATAAATATTTTTCCAATCGATTCAAACGTGTCATACGGACAAAACATGATTGGAGCAATTGTAATAAAATATTTTTTGACAATTATATCTCATCTTTCCATGATCTATTAGCATCACCTTCTTCCTAATGGGGCCTACACCTACTTCCCTACCTATATACATAATCTCTGAAAGATGAAAGTGGAAGGCTGCATTAATTGTGTAAAAAATGTCAAACGTTAGGATCAAATATTGGGTAATGACCTTTTTAGAATATAGGGATATCAACAAAAACACAAAACTATGTTTATCTATTTTTGAGAGAACCGGACCCGGTTGAACCGTGAAAAGTGGGGCCTGACACACCTGTCTGGTTCAAGGCTTTTGAGCAAATTTGACAGTTCAGTTTCAGTGGTAAACTAACTGACCCCGGCCTGGTTAAAGGGTCAAACCAGAATAGAGTTGTCTCCGTCACCAAACAACCCTCATGAACATGAAGCCCAAGAATAACCCAAATCGCTTCATGGTGATTAAAGGGGACTGACAAAAAGAAGGGCCAGTGCAGTGATCCCAGATCAATAGCGTCATGGTGTGAAAATGGAGTAATGTCTAGATCGAGACACCACCTAAGACTCCAATTGTCCTTTTCTTCTGAGTTCTGACGACGTAAAGGGACGACGCTTGGGGCCTAAAGTCCTTGCTGCCGAGGTAAATTGGCCTTAAAAATTAGAAGCAGCAGCACGACATATATATAACACATAGAGACCTTATCTATATATGCTCTTTAATTCATACTTCATACAGGTCTAACTTAAACCTCCTTCACCTTGGCTTGAGGACCACATTACCCCATACGTTGGTGTGATAATTATGTCTGCACTAAATACCCCTCCCCTCGTCTGCTTCTCCTTCAATGAAAATTTTACTGTCCCATACCCTCACTCTCCCGTTCCTTTCTCACATTACCAAACCCATCTCACCGCTTGCCCATTTTTGGTTGGTTACCTACTTACCTTGGAGGGGAATTAGTAAATCGCGGGCCCAAGCCCATCCCCCACCCATTTGTTAGAATCGTCTCGTCTCTGTGAGTCTGTAGTCTGTACGATTTTTTTTTCCCGGTATGGCCCGAGAGTCCAACTTCAGTCAGGGCAAAGCCCGTTTCAACAGCCTTTACAGCCTTGCGCCGTAATTATGTAATTTATTTCATGGGAGATATTCTCAATATAAGGTTGTAAGGGGCTGCTCGAAGGGTGCCAGCACCAACTTGCCCTGATAGAAGCCGAACTCGTGGCCCGGTCCATGGTTTTTCTTTGGACCACGACTTTTGGCATTAGATACTGATCCTGAGGTGCATGCAAAAGGCAAAAGCAATCGTGAGAGCATTTTAAATCTTGGCCGGCGTTGGGTGAGGATTGAGAGGAGTGCATAATTATTAGATTCACGGACAGAATGTGCATGGGTCATGGGTGGGCAACCAGCAAACCGAGAGAGAGAGAGAGATCTGTATTGGAGTGATGGATAATCGAAACAGGCGTGTTTTACTTACAGGACTGAATGTCTGAATGCTGTCCAACAAGACCAACCTGGAACACTTTAACACACGTCCCGGAATCGAAACATCTCTATTAATGACTGGTTGTAGAGGGTGTGGCAGTTTCAGTCTCAGAAAGCATTAATAAATTAGGTAGCAGTCATCTGCAGGGGCAGAGGCGGGTCAGGCCTTCAACTTGTCCCACTAGTCTCACCCCAACGCAAGCTGATATGGTATCGCCGATGCCGATATGGGCTGAGAGACGCAGGTTTACGTTTCCTGAGTCTTGTTATTCAGCCTCGGATTCAATAATGTATTGAGGCATTAAAGTCAACAGACACAAATGGTTTACGAGTTAAAAGAAGTCAGATGTAAATGAGAGAGGGAACAGCTAGGAAAAATGGAGCCCAGTATGAATTCTGTTTCTGTCTTTCCATAAAATCCTTGCGACTGGGACGACATTCATAGGCAACGTCTCTAGATAGAAACATTTCTCTGTCTAGACTCTGGGAACACTGACCCCAGGAAGAGAGAGAGAGAGAGAGACTTTTGTCTTGTTGTCTTCTACCTTTACAGCTGTATAGGAGAAAACTAAAAGGAGCAGGAGAAGAAGAGTAAAGGGAGAGACAGAGAGGGGAAAATGAAAATGAATGAATATTATCGATAAAGAATACATGAAGATGAAGATGGAGACGAAGGAGTCGGTTCCATGAGGAGAGGACCGAGTCAAAAGAGACTTAGCGAGGCCATCATATTATTCCACAATTATTGGGTGTGGGGCAAGCTGTTGCGTTGAAAAAAAAAAAAAAAAAACAAGCACTCTCACACACAAACACATGATACATATCTCATCTCCATCTCGGTTGATATTGGATGGACTTTCTCCTTGTTTCTCTTGTGGATATATACTTTCCTCTCTCTTCAATCTAATTAACGATTTGTTAATTATTTAGATCGATGGAGTTCAGTTCAGAGATTTGATTTGAACAGAACACCCACTAACCACATGCATGCATATACATGCTCATACAACAATAGAAAAAAGGGCAATTTCTATGATACACATTGGACAAGAAATCTTAATTTGAACAAAGACTGAATAACTCCAGATTATGATTAATTCAGTATATTTTGGAAGCTTTTTTTTTCAATGAACATGAACACGCATATATACCAAACTTCTGCATACAGAAGTATCTTTCCACGGCAACAACAGAATGGATGTTATTAGCACCTTTTTGGGGCTAATTAAGTAGCAGTTGAAGAACTTTGATCATTGCATTTCCTATGATGGCAACCCATCAAAGAAAAGTTACTTGAAATCAGACAATCCATATTAATTGGCATGTACAGAAACAGAGCAGCGAGAGATACTCGGCCAGTTGGATGAGTAGGGGACCAAGCAATCAAGCATTGTGGGGAGGCACGATGTGTACACTCTACAAAGTCTACTGTGTGCGTCATAAAAATATAGAGTTCGCATCTGCATGCATGCTACGGACAACATGAGAGGAAATGTATTAATAGCTGTTATATATATATATATATATATATATAAATAGATTGTTTAAGAGATTAAGATATTAATCTCAAAGTGGTCTGGTGGGTAAAGGATTGTTTTTAATACTCTACTATTATTTTCTTTGATACGTTTGAGTGTTTACCCCACCCACTGGAGATGGAAAGACTATGGGGGAAGGAAACTGTGGATGTGGGTGTGACCAGACACGAGAGGAACAAGAGAGACAGAGCTCAAGGGTCTTTAAGTTCTGAAAATTTTTGAATGAAATGAGGCGGGTTCGGGATGTAATTAATTGAGGTGGGTAACTTGGGTGGGGTAATATAGGGCAAAAGGACATATTAGGTGGCGCTCCGAACGAGGTCAAACCCAAATGAAAGTCTCAAATAAGACCAAAATCACAACCACAACTTGAGTGGCCGACAACTTTATTCTGGTTCTGCAAATGATGCAAATTGTTCTTAAAAAAAAAAAGAAAAAAAAAAACTTTCTTCTGGTTCTTCATCCTCCACATGCAAACAAAACCATCTCATCTCTATTCTTCCACCCCCCTTTCTATTTCACTCTCTCTCGATTCAACAATTCGACTGAAAAGGAGAGAAAAGTAACAAGGACTTTGTATCAGACACCCCTGTCTAGGTTGTAAAACTCCATATCAAGTAAGTTAATGAGATTGAATTCCAATTAGATATACACATATATAAAACGAATATGCATGCAGAACTCTTCAATTTATGTATGTCTATAGTAACATAAGGTATATATGTTCATGTAAGAATGACCGACGAGATACTGAGAGGAAAAGGGAGCGATAATTCAGATGTAAATAGTCTGTCATTGCTGCAGCAGTCCATTTTTCCCAGCAAAATGCTAGCCATCTCTGCTTTTCGGTCTTTCTGCCCGCGTCTTATCTCTCTTCCTCTTTCAAGAGGGGATAGAGTAGAGAGGGATGTTTGTTTGTTTTTTTGATCTTGTCATTTCCAGTGCAGACTAGCCAGAAATGCATATAGATGGAAGGCAATTTAACTTGCATTTAAACAACTTAAATACTACGGAAAGAGAATGTAAGATAAGAGACAACATGGGTGAACGTGAATGCCTCCATGGAGTAGACAGATAAGATTGATTAAGAACGAAGAGAATTGGATGGATATAATAAAAAAGAGAGGAAAAGAGGTTTAACGAGGGTTGCTGAGCACGTCCACGAAAACATGACTGAGAGAAGGCAAACACATCTGCTGGTCCTGGGCTCTGCTCCTCTTGAACAAAGGCTCCGGAGAAGACGAAATCGATGATGCGACTGCACATGAATCGTTGGAGCTCTCACAGCTGAAGGATACATCAATAACGCCGTTTGGGCTGCCTGGCATGGACTGGTACTTGCGTTTGCGACTATAATTGAGACCATGGCAGCTCCATGTCAATTCCTGGATGAGTTGAAGGCACTCATCCACAGTATCCTATTTAAACATAATCAAGATTAAACTAGATAATTAGCGAGGAACCGATGTTACTTTTATCTAAGGTAAAGTATGAGTAGAAAGAGAAATATAGATTAACCCACACTCAATATATATGAAAGGAAATACCAACCTTGCTGATTTTCAGGACACCCATGAGCTGGTTTTGGTATTCCACTGGGTTACAAGGCTCAACCTCGCTGATAACGTGCAGCATTGTAGCAGTAGCCAAAATAGAGGGAAGATACCGAACAAACCCCGGGTCTGCGAAGGAAATCTAAGGGTTAAAGACTTTCAAGTAAAGAAGAACATGAATTGGATGAGAATGAAGTAGATTGTTTGATTTGTACGGCATTGTTTTTCTTGTTATTAATGATGATGATGATATATAATGGGAAATCTTGTTTTTGCGAAAGGGGGAGTGGATAGCTCTTCAATCGCTTTGCTTAGTTGCTTACCGCCAATGATAGAGAGGAGCAGGCGCTCACATCGCCTGAGGAACTCCCAGTGCAGATGGTTCTTCAATCCCAGCCTTCTTATGATGTGGTCGATGAAAGAGAGTGGGGTCACGGGGTTCATCTTCCAGTGAAGCGTGGAGAGAACTAGCAGTTCCATTCTCTGAATCGTTTTGGCCTCGAACACATACTTGGTCTCCTCCACCTGAGCAAAGAAAAGGAAATCCAGATTTTAAACCAAGAAGACCAAGAACCCCATTTCTTTTCGGTTAGTAAGGAAATACAAGGCCAATTAGAAAATTGCTAGGAACGTACTTGCAGGTCTAGGAGAAGAGGGGCCTGGATCTCCTCCACTTTGGCAGCCAGAGACAGACAAGCCACAGCGGTGAGTTGAGTCATCCACGGCTTGTCTCTCTGGATGTTAAGGCTAGAGAGAAACCTGTCGAGGTAGTTAACGGCGAGAACAGCGGTGAGAGTAGAGAAGGAGTAGTGGGAATTGACTTTGAGCATCCACTCCACGGCCTCCCGACGAGCCGACGCAAGGGAAGGATTGGCTGTGTCGAGATTATTGAGGTGGTGGGTCTGCTGTTCTTTGGCAAGAAGAGTGAGAAGTTCTTCATCTTCCCATAAGAGGTCTTGTTCCGATAAGAACAGAGGGCAAAGAGATGGGTTAGTTGCAACTTGGCGACTATTCTCGCTCCCTTCTTCGTCTAAACCTCCCTCTTCTTCCTCCCAACGCTCCTCCTCGCAATAAAGAGCATCTAGAAGGAATTGAGGGTCCGATTGCTGTTGCTGTTCTTGTTTTTGTTGAGCCATCTTCTTCAGAGAAGAAGAGGTTAAGGTCTCTGTTCATTATACAGAAACGAAGAAGAGGAAGTACCTCATCTCACACGCAGATAGCCAGAGGTATCTCTCAAATCTCTCTCTCTCTCTCTGAACAGAGGGGGGTGTCCTCAAATCAAAGGATGTTATTTTGGTGGGTTTTTGTTCACGCCTGTCCTTTTTCTTTATATCATTTTGGTTTTCCTTCAATCTTCTTTTTGTTGTTGCGTTGGCGGGCAGGAATTAGGAAGTGGAAGTGTGTAACGGCACACAGACCGAGCCGGCTGGACCCATACTTGATAGCCAAACCACCCCGAGTGAGACAGGAAGACCTGAGCTGAACAAGAACAACAAACCGACTACACTAAGTCTACACTGCTATACTACATTTCTACTGTTATAAGCTACTGAGTACTGAGTAAGTGAGTAGTGAGTGAGATGAGACAGGAAACCTGGACTCTACTCTGGAGGGGTTTTATTTCTCCTTTGGGCTTTGGGTATTACTGTAATGTTAAAAAAATAAAAATTTATACGTATCGTACCGGCTTAAGGTGAGAGACAAGTCGGGATATTTTATTTTTAAAAAGAAAAAAACTACGTAAAGTGGTCAATCGTAGCGTTGACTGATTTCTCTATGGCTTGTCCATTGCTTGCTGCAGCCTGCAGCATCTACTATTAATACCTTTTCGAGTGGGCCTCTCGAGTTTGAAAAGCCCATATATATCATTATCATTAAGGAATTAAAAAAAAAGAAGAAAAAACAAAAGATCTCGAGCGTATCTAAAATTCTCTTCCCTCCAACTTTTGCCGGTTGGGAACCCGACCCTCCCGGTTTCAAGACTCAAGAGCAATAAAAAAAGACAAGTCGCTACACAGTCGATGAGATACAAAGACAGGAGAGTGAAAAGATTGAATGGGTTTAACTTGTTTAAAAGGCGGGGAGCGTTAGCATTAGACAATAGACATTTAGACTATAATAGACGATTTTCTCCCTCTCTCTCTCTCACCTCATTATTGTTGCCGTCTTGTCTGCCCGTGCAGCTTCATACAACGCCGTACGTTTTTTCTTTGACATCTCTGCTTCAATCAAAATAAATTATTAAAGCAATGGATAGTAGTAACATAATTAATTAATTCAATTTATAATTAATTAATCTTATTTGGCAAGCATACACACATGCCACAAATGGCATGGTTTTCGAACCGCTGTTGATTCGGATGGTCAGTCCGTTCGAACCAAAAATCGTTGATTTGGGTGGTTGAATTGTCAATTTGTTTAATGGTTTTTACTGTTTTTAAATTCTAATTATTTTTTATTTATATTGGAATTTGTCATGGACTAGGAAATTCTGGATTAAACATGGATAAGCATGTATCTAAGCACAAATTTTGGTAGTTCCCTAGGCGTCTTTAGCTAGTTATGATTAGTAGGTAGGTTACTACTACAAGTGAGTCTCCTGTTCCTAAATTTCAGGCGTGATTGTATGTGTATATATATGGTTGTGCCTTACATAATGACACAAGATTCTCACAAAGATTATATTTTTTCATGATATGAGAGTCATAACGAAGTTGCTGAGAGCAACACCGCATTCGCTCGGCACCGGCAGAGTCCAGACCTTGCACTCCAGTTTTTCCAGATCAGCACTGTAGCTTGTCCCCTCCATTCGAACCTAACCCAGAAGAGCGGCGGCGAAGCTACTGTTCCTCTTCTTTCCCTGTTCGAGCGGAACCAGCGGCGGCGAGAACTGTTCCTCCTCTTCTCTCCCATTGGCAACTACGAAATCGGGGATGTTGCGGAAAGCCTTCACAATCTTGGAACCCTCAGTGCCATAAACAATGAGAGGACCCTTGCGAGAAATGTTTCGACGGTACCTCATCTTACCCTTTCCTGGTCGGATTGCATGGCTATCCACATCGGGATAAGCACCGACCTACTTGAGGATCTTGATCGCGGAAGATGTCTTCTCAACACCCGCGGGTCATCAGTTTCAGATCCACTGCCGCTCTGGTTTTCAAGACGATGAACGATGTCATGATTTATGGGAAGAACACAAAGAGGATGAGAGACGCTGCTCCATCGTGCGTTCCTTTTTTTGTCGCCATTGCCTCCGGTTTTGGGTTCGAAAGAAGACGCTAATGAATAGTGGATTGGCTGTTGTTGCTATTGCCTCTGTTGATGTCTGAAATCGATCGACGGAACAAGAGAACTGGGACCCCTTGTCCCCGAACGGTATCAAAACTCGGGAATCGGAAATTGATACGAAGGACCGATGCATCATCAAATTCGATGAGAACAAGAGAGAAAGCTTGTCGCTGCAACTCCTCTTCCCGCCGTAGAGTCGAAATTAGAAGGAAGAAAAACCTCTGACACCTCTGTTGGTTGCCGCTGGACGGCACGACCAGTACCCCATGACTCAGTAGAGGTTTGATAGGCGGCGCACTTGCTGACAGCTATCTTTCCTTTTTTTTTTTTTGATACATTGACGTGAACGAAGTTGACAATGTCTGAACGGATTGATGCTTTCATGACGTCAGGGAGGGAAACAGTGATGACCATTTGTAGTAGGAACGGTGAGAGTTCAAGTATGTTGGACCTTCTGGCGGACGTGACCGAAGTTCAGCAAAAACTCATGCTGCTCAGTCATCGGCAGGGCGTGAGGTGGCTGCTAATGCAGCCGTAACTGACGGAGACAGGACCGGACTAAATGGGCTTAATGAAGAACAGTGGCAGATTCTCGTAAACATGCTTGATGCTTACAAAACCAGGACTAATGAAAAACTCTCTGGTAAGAAAAATTCTACTGATTGGATAATTGATTCCGGGGCGTCGCACCATATGACTGGAGAAATTGACTTATTGATGGATGCACAGAATATTACACCGTGTCCGGTGGGACTTTCCAATGGGAAGCAAACCACTGCAGTGAAGGAAGAAACTTTACATTTGGGTGGAAATATTTATCTACATCATGTGCTTTTTGTACCAAGAATGAACTGCACCCTTATTTCCGTAGAAAAATTGTTGCGAGAGATAAACTGTACTATCACTTTTACTGACAAGCTATGTGTGATACATGACCAAACCTCGAGGAGTCTGATCGGAGTGGGTGAGCAGTGTGATGGGGTCTATCATTTTAGAGGAGCAGCACCGGTTCGAGCGAATAGAACAAGAGGTATGGATGAATGGGAGTTATGGCATTGCAGATTAGGGCATCCGTCTAAACAGATATTATCTTTTCTTCCTAAAGYAGATARATTRAATAGTAGAACTGAAGGAGATAAGCCATGTGATGTTTGTTACAGAGCAAAACAAACACGAGAAATTTTTCCTGAAAGTAAACATAAAGCTGATGATTGTTTCTCTCTAATTCATTGTGATACATGGGGCGTCTATAAAGTACCTGCCTCTTGTGGTGCAGTTTACTTTTTAACCATTGTTGATGATTATTCTCGTGCTGTGTGGGTTTACTTGTTACTGGACAAAAGTGAAGTAGCACATATTATTGAGAAATTTTGTGCCATGGAAGAACGTCAGTTTGGCAAGCAAGTCAGGACTATTCGAAGTGATAATGGAACAGAATTTAAAAGCTTGAAATCATACTTTGAGACTCATGGCATTCTGCATCAAACTTCGTGCCTTGGGACACCGCAACAAAATGGTCGGGTAGAGAGAAAACACAAGCATATCTTGAATGTTGCGAGAGCATTGAGATTTCAAGCAGGCTTTGCCCATTGGTTTTTGGGGGGAGTGTGCCTTAACCGCTGGATACTTGATAAACAGGACACCTTCTTCTGTACTTGGCGGGAAGACTCCGTATGAGGTACTGTTCGGGACGCCACCTCAATACGAGCACATGAGAGTATTTGGCTGTCTCTACTATGCTCATTGGAGTCCTCGAGATAAGGATAAGTTTGGAGAAAGGAGTAGGAAGTGTGTTTTTGTGGGTTATCCCTATGGAAAGAAAGGTTGGCGCGTATATGATGTTGAAAGAGGTGAATATTTTGTCTCCCGTGATGTAGTCTTCCATGAAAATATATTTCCATATGTCGCTGGTTCAGAAACCACTCTGGGAGACAAACCTGGCCCGGCCATTGCACCAATTGATGCCGCAGTCAATGATGATGTTGTACACAGCCACAGAGGGAATAAAGACAAGGGGAGTGATGCAGCCGACATCTGTGATAGGGGGAGCCTTGAGAATAATGATGATGGAAGAGAGGATGAGCACGGAGAAGAAGAGAGTGTGTAGGAAGTGGGAATCAATGGCAGTGAGGACAGAATTAATGTGGATCCAGCACCACAAACGACACCAGAAGAGCAACTTGGTAGGGGACATCGGCATCGCACGCCGTCTGTTTTGTTGAAGCCCTACGTGACCTACACTTCTCGATGTTTGAGAAACCCCATTCACACTCAAGCCAACTCTGAATTAGAGTCCTCAGGTACGACTCCCTATCCCATAGTGAATTATGTGACATGTACTAACTTCTCTGCTAGACATCAAGCTTTCTTAGCTACAGTCACTGCAGGAGCCGAGCCCACAAGCTTTTCGGAGGCAATGAAAAGTGAGAAATGGAGGGAAGCTATGAGGAACGAAATCCAGGCTCTGGAGGAAATAGGTACTTGGACATTAGAAACTCTACCTCCCGGGAAAAAGGCAATAGGGAGTAAATGGGTTTATAAGATCAAATATAATTCAGATGGGACGGTTGAACGACATAAGGCTCGACTAGTTATTCTCGGGAATAGACAGGTTGAGGGGTTAGATTATAATGAGACTTTCGCTCCTGTGGCCAAAATGACGACAGTCCGCACTTTCTTAGCCGTGGCAGCCACAAGGAACTGGGAGTTGCATCAGATGGATGTACATAATGAATTCTTACATGGGGATTTGGATGAGGAGGTATACATGTAGTTGCTGCCAGGTTTCACATCTAAGGATCGAACAAAAGTGTGCAAACTGAAAAAATCTCTCTATGGATTACGTCAGGCTCCCAGATGTTGGTTCTTGAAATTAACAGCGGCCTTGATATAGTTCGGGTTTGTTCAATCGTATCCTAACTACTCTTTGTTCACTTATTTCAAACACAATGTTCGTCTGCACGTGCTGATATATGTTGATGATTTGATTGTTGGGGGAAATGATATTGTAGCCATTATGAAATTCAAAGAGTATCTTAGTCGATGCTTCCATATGAAAGATCTGGGTCCACTCAAATATTTCCTAGGTATTGAAGTAGCTCGTGGTCCTGATGGAA